ATCTCGTCAGTCTGAGAACTGGGGCATCAATGTTTGGAACTTCATCAAGAATATTTGTTGAAAATTGAATTGATTATTGATTATTGAATCTATCAATTCAGCACTTCTTAATCGGCTGTAACGTCTAAGTCTGAGCCTCTCGCAATGGCCCTCAATTCTGGAACTTTTTTTATCCATTTTATATAAAAAATAATAGTCCTCAACGATAACAAAATTCAACGATGTTGAATATAAATTAAATTCATAATTTTTAAAGTTTTCAAAATTAGAATTTAATTTATATTCAACATCATTGACTTTTATTTTTCCATTTTTAATTGCTTCACAACTTCTGCTCACACTGACACTGAGATAATCCATTGCTTCTTTTTGAGTAACGAATTTGAGGTGAACATATTCAGTAGTTAATAGGATTAGAGGTTTTGAATGAGGATTATCATGAGTTGTATTGAGGCCGAGAGCTTTTTCCAACTCATATTTTGTCATTATCATGAAGTTCTTTATCCTCTTCCTCCTTGCCATATCAATTAGTGAGAAATAAGAAGTCGCTGGATTTGTTTTATTTTCTTTATCTCGGTTATTGAGTAAGGTTTCTATTAAATCTTTCTTTTTGGTAATATTCCAGTGACCCTCTTCCATTGCCATGATTTGTAATTCAAACATCTTCTTTTTGTTTAATTCATGTTCCGTCATCTCCATTTTTATATATGAAAATAAAAAAAAAATTATTATTATAAAAAAAAAAATTAACGAGGAAAAGCCATGGTAACTTACGGTATCTATTTATGAGGAATTTTATGCATACGTAAAAATCACCTGCTCAAATAAATTTTCTCGCTCTCAATTCTATAAATTCACAAAATCTTTCACAGAATTCTTCACAATTGTGAAAGTTTCACAGAATTCTTCACAATTGTGAAAGTTTCATAGAATTCTTCAGAATTGTAAAGAATTTCTCTGATGCATCAGATAAATTTACATATTTAATTCACACATCATGCCTTATCTCTCAATATAAACAAAGAAAAACCATATGCTCTTCGGCTGAATTGAATTGAATTTTAATTCTTTATGTTTACGAGTGATCCAAGCTTTTTTCGGTATTCATTTTTTCATCTCTTTTTCCACAGCTTCAATGTCAACTCCTTCAGCAGATGGTTTACCTCTCAAACCTTTCTTCAATAAAATTAATAATACTGCTGAACCTTGTGGGGAATCAAGTCAAACTCGACATCAGAGATTGGTCTGTCATTCAATGCCTTTGAAATTAACTTGCTTATTGAAAAATTTGATGATTCAGCAAGAGAAACAGTTTTCTCATGTTTTGTGATCTTTTTATTTAGCCTTTTACTGCCAACAGTAATTGCGGTTGAAATGAAACCGAGTAATCTGGCAATTCCTGTGTGAGGGGCGCTGATGATGACTCCAATTCCACTTAGTGATATTCCTAATCCTGTTGATGATAAAACCATTGCCATGTTGACTCTGGTCATAATAGAAGTCATTTGAAAGATTGCGTGAACTCTTTTGTAGTTTTCAACGCGTACGGTGGTATAACGATCAGATTTTAGCTGCAAAAGGATGAAAAGAAAAGCAGAAAGGAAATGGTGTTCACCAACCTCCATACATGACCTAAATGTATCTGCAAGAAACTCCGCTTCTAATATGATTAAAAAAGTACACTTCGATTTTTATCAGAACCTCATTCAAGAAAACAGTTTGGATCAAGAAAAGTTCTTCAGGGTCTCAAAACAGCTGTTAAATGAAAGCTTGATGTTCCACTCCCTTCTCACGTTAATTAACCGTTGTTGGCAAACGAGATGGCTAACCTCTTTGTTGAAAAGATAAGTAACATAAGATCCAAATTCAAAGAGGATCATGGATCCATGCACTCCATAATTTAGTAGTTCCCAAGCAATTACAGAACATGAAGCTTACAACAAGTCATTATTATGAATTTGGCTAAGAAATTGTGCGCTCTTGATCCCATACCCACATCTCTGGTAGTCAAGTGCATTGATGTCCTCTTACCAGTCATAACTAAAATGATTAACATCTCACCTGATAGTGGTCACTTTCCCTTAGCATGGAAAGAGTCCTTGGTTTTGCCAATTCTTAAGAAGGCTGGGCTTGATGCTGTTTTTAAGAACTACCACCCTGTAAGTAATCTTTCCTTCATTTCAAAAGTAACTAAAAAAGCTGTGTTTCTTCAAATTGACAATCACATGAAGAAACATGATCTTTATCCGCCATTACAATCTGCTTACAGAAAGAACCATAGAACAGAAATGGCACTTTTGAAAGTCACTAATGACATCCTGATGAAAATGAATTCTCAGCATACTGTTTTACTTGTTTTATTAGACTTAAGCACTGCCTTTGATACAGTTGATCACAGTGTACTTCTGTGTAGACTACAAATTTTCATTTGGAATTTCTGGAGCACCATTAGATTGGTTTACTTTGTACTTAATGGCCAGAAGACGCGTTTCCATTTCTGGCGCCCTTTCTGAGTCTCTTTCTTGAATAGGACATTCCACAAGGACCTTGTCTCGGTCCCCTATTATATAAAAATCTATTCTTCAAAGCTATTTAACGTCACTGAACAACACCTTCCAGATTCTCACTGTTATGCGGATGATTAACAATTATATCTCTCCTCTAGGCCAGATGAGTTGTCAAGTCAACAAGGTGCTGTAACTGCCATACAAAATTGCATAAGGGACATTCGCTCAAACTCCTTCTCAATGATGAAAACATAGGCACACAAGGCGTCCAAGAGTTATTTTTTTGTGAAGTGTCAGAGATAGGAGCATTCATGGAGCTGTTTACAGTAATGATTTGGTTAATTTGACAAGTTTTTTGGGTTGCATTGTACAGCAAGAAAGAAACTCAGAATTTATGATGTACATGCGATGTTACATCGGTCATGGTAAGTAGCATATCCCATCTTGACTCTCTTTCAAGTTTTCAGTGCTATCTTAAAACATATCCTTTTAAACAGGCTTTTAATTTGTTTTAATTTGCTAGTGTTCACCTTGTGATTTTATCAATCTTAATTACATGTATATTTTATTTACTTTTAATCATTTTATCTAATTGTAAAGCGCATTTGATCATGTACGTCATGGAAAATAATATTGCGCTATATAAGTTTTAATCATTATTTCTTTGAAACATTTTGATATTGTGAAATTTGATTTTCAAGTTCTCTTTGACAGTCACAAATCTTTTTTAAGAAGAAAGATGTAATATTCACATCATCCGGTAGAGTTGGAGAAAGTGGGGGAGCGCTTGGTTTGATTTGCTCAATAGGAAAAATATTTTGATCTGACATTTTTTATACAATTTCTGTTTCAAACCTCAAAGGAAGCCCATTGAAATTGATCATTTCACCATTCTTGTCAGTCACATAAATTCTGATCAAAGGAATTTGATTACTGATTGATATTTTTCTCATTACGGTTTCTTTCGACGAATAAGTCAATCTTTCAAAAGGTTTTCCAACTATATCAAAACAACCCAAGATGGTAGAAGCGCTTCGCCCGCTGATACTTTTCCATTGAAGAGATTTTCATCTCAGTCAATGAGAATGCAGTGTATGAGGTAATTGCTGAATGAAGTCAACAGATTGATGACAATCCTTATTTTTAATTTTTTATCTTTATCAATGAGTCCAGATTCAATGAGTCCAAGTAAAGCAGTCAGATCACAATCTATTTGAATCTTCCTTTCCAGTGGATTTTCTATAATGATTGCACCTTCTGAATTATCCAATTTTACTCTGATTCTATCTTCATCAAATATAATCATAAAGTGCTTTTCTGAGACTCTTGAGAGTATAATTTCCAGCAGGAATTCTTTTACAGTTACGTTGTCTTTTTCATCAAAAATCCCGATTTCTCCATTTCTCCAAATTGTACCATGAATTAGAAAGATAGCAACTCAATAGTCTTATGTATTGAGACTTTTGAAGATGTTCTTTAAAGTAACCTGTGTGATCATTGTATCCCCAATAATTGTCAACATGACCATTTTGTATATTCAAATATAAAATGGACTTAATGAAATCATGTCTCAAAGTGATAAAGCCAAGAAACTTGCTGATCAAGAGAGAGATAAAGCTTGGAATGACTTCAAATTGAGTTTTCAAAATGCTGATTTAAGTAAATTCAAAGTTAAGATTGAAATAAAGGTAATAAATGAAGTGACTGCTGAAGTATTTTTCATTGAAGGTCCTGGTTCATTGCAGAGTGTCTTTGAGTAAGTGAAAGGTATTGGAGTGATAAAATGAAAAAGGCTTTGGGGATAGGAGCTTTTCCAACAGAATTAACTTTAAACTTAATTCAAAAATTACCCATCCCAGTAGTTGAATTTTCAGAAACCATAACCATTTTGTCATTTATTCAACAAAGAAATAAAAATTTAATCTTATTTGAAGATGACATTAAGCAAGTTGATATCAGCAAAAACATTCAACGATTTCAACTCGCGATTGATGAGGCAAAAGTCAGACTCGATCTCGCAATATCTCCAGATACATGGTTGATGCCTTTGAATCTTGAGAGAAATACTCAGAGTACAGTCAGTTACAATAACGTATTGAAGAAGGCAACAAAAGACATGAAACTCGGAGTCAACTCGAGCCAACTTGAGTCAACTCCATCAACCTTGATACGAAGAGACTGGGGGTTAAGCTGATGAATGGGGGTACCTCAAACATCAACAGACCAAGTGGAGTGAGGCTACTGACCTCCTCCTTCAAATCTGCAACGAAGCTCAAACCACAGTAAGACGCAAAGCTCAAGCGTAAGCGATAACCAGAAAATCGACCAAGTAAACATAAATTATGATTTACTGCACAGGATGAAGCACTAAAAAAATGTACAACCATTTTGTGAGCCATCCTCTGTTGTGCAAGTCTAAACATTAGCTCCTGAGAGATTTAAAGGACAACAAAAATGTGTACACTGTGCACTGGAATCAGTTGGCATACTTACTCATTAGTGAGACTAGGTGTAGAGGCAGCTTTAGCTTGGATTTGAAGAATGATCTCCTACAATCAATGTAATATCAAAATATACATTAAGCTATTATTATCATCAATTTTAAAGTACCAATATAAGGAAAAAAGAACTTGCATGACATATTTCTAAAAGTAAATGTGATCCAAATTCATTCAGCTGAGAAGAAATAACACATGGTATTGGTATGCAGCTGAAACTTTTCTTGTGGCTGCTCTATGAAGCAGTACATTCTATATTCTTCCATGGTGAGATTATTATCTGGAAAGACACTGCTGCAACCACTGAGTTGGTTTTCTTCAAAGAATGACATTAAAAATAATTGTATTCTCTTGATTTTCTGTCCAGTTCCAGCAACATTTTCTTTACACTAATTCACCCCAATGAGGCAAATATTCCAGCCATACTTGATGATGTGACTGTTGACGTGCTTCTATGCACTTTAATTGTAAATATGAAGAAATCTTATTTTTGAACAAGTAACAATTAAGATAATTTTGGGGGTGTACTATTTTACTCATGCATGCTATGTATTTAACTTTTGGATTGATGGCACTTAGAGCTTTGAGAGTCAAGATTTGTTGGAATATAAGGATACATGCAATATAATTATAAAAAGGTAAGTTAAGTCTGCATATGAGCCAAGTGGCCCACCAGACCAGAGCATGAAGCGACTAGGAGTATTTCTACTCCCCCCTGGATGGAATGCAAGTCCATTGCAGGGTTACCCCCAGCATTAAGTTCGCTGGTACCCATTTATACACCTGGGTGGAGAGAGACACTGTGAGAGATAAGTGTCTTGCCCAAGAACACAACACAATGTCCCGGCCAGGTCTCGAACCCGGACCACTGGATCTGGAGACGAGTGCACTAACCACGAGGCCACTGCGCCTCCCACATAATTATAGTATGCAACACCTTTAATGATGCTGGATCATCTCTTCTTATTTCGGCTCCAGTTACTAATAGTAAAAGAAGACAACAATTCAAGTTAACTGAAACTATATTACTGACTGAAGGAAAAGTGCATGTACTACACCTGCATTTTACCACAGATGTTGAAAAATCAATTTTTTACATTTCTCCCCTCCTATTAGTTTCCTTGAAATTTGGTTTAGATTAATTATCTATTTTAAAACAATTTTTTAGGCCTCAGGCTTTATAAATTGGTAATATAATTAGTTCCCCAGTAGGTGAACCATGTACTTTCACAGTTTGGAATTCCTACGATACTCTTCTATTACTGCATCTCTTATGGTAAATAATTATTGTGTATAGCCACAAGGGACATTAGACAAGTAGTACAACTCTTTAGCACTCAGTTGTAATGGTCTCAGAAATTACAAAACTTCAAAATATTTTACTATTACATGTAACTTTCCCTTTAGCAATGAATTATATTAAGTTGGAGTAATAGTGGACATGTATGCTTTACCAAGTCCAAAAAGTATGCTCAAGGTGATTCCCTAGTAAAAGAACCCGCCATAGATTTCTGATGAAACTTGGAATGCTGTTGTTACAGGACAAGGAGATATTAAAAACGTAATAAAAAGAGGGGGTCACCGTGCTTGTTTTCATGCCACAATGCTGACAAATACAGTTATTTAGGTGACTTTTGGTAATCGCCGTGTGCAACAAATAAGCTCGATTATTTTTCAATGCAGCATGTTATATCACACAGAGTTTGACTTTCTTTGATTGTTTATTCATGTCCCAGAAAAAATGTGTTCAAATACCCTGCATTTTTTTATCCCTTATAGGAAACATAATTTGGACATGTGCTCTGTTGGGCCCATTTTGTCTCCCTCTGTAGTATTTATTTCATTTGCCAAAATAGTAGCCATAGATTTCTTCTAATTTTTTTCTCAGCTATTGAGGATATTGTTCCCATTGAAATTATGAAAAAAAAAGTGGGGGTCACCGTGCTCATTTAAGAGAAAAGGAGCATTTATTTCGCTATCGAGCTTAGTTTGAGGGAAATCTCTTATGTTTTGTATGCACATGCGCTCATGTGCACGTGCTAATGATGTGAAAATCGTGTGCAGTAGGGATGCGCAATGCAATACTAAGGAATCACCTTAAGATGGCCAGGTGTCGTGCACTTGCTTCACTTACTTATGATACAAACCATTTCTTACTTTTTAGCAGCAGTAAAAGCAGTTCAACATCCTGTCCTGTAAAGGAATCTACAAGCCACCGTATGATGTCATAAATAAGACAGCAATGAATAATCTGCGTAAATAGAGGATAGACATTAGAAGCAGCACCAGAAGATTGTTCATTGAGTGCAAATAAAAAGGGGAGATTGATTTGTGTCCTCATCAAAACCTGCTGTTTTGCCACAATATTATTCGAGTGGAAACCAAACTAGCACTGAACTTCAAACACTGTACGACTTTATTTGTTTACACAGATACGAGTTTGACTAGGAAAAAATATCAAGCAAATAGAAAATGAATACAACAATAATAAGTGAAGGAAGCTAGGCAAAAAAATAAGAAAACCATGACAAACACAACTTACAGAAATTCCACCAGAATGACAAAGTGGGAATTGAACCGATCCTGGATACATACGCGATGCACAATTTGCTCGAACGGATTTGCAAGTTATTTTAAAATAGCAAAACTGTAGCTCTTAAATTCGTACAAGTACACATGTGAAAAATCTACATTATATGTCCCGTAGGGATATCATGATTTGCATAGGGAACAAAAACAATAGGAAGCAACGCGAGAATGTTACACCGGCCCCTAAATGTGGTGCATTACAAAGCATTTATAACAAATAAAAAGATCACGTTCTCAGCGTGCTTATCTAATTACGATAGAGCAAAGCTATATATAGGGTGTTGAACAATTGTTTGTTACTAGCTTTGTTCAGTCTTGTAGTGTTCAAAAAGGGGGATTCCCTTTTGAGTTCTGTAAACAAGTACTTGATCTTGACAGGCTTGTAGCTGGAAAACAGTTCCACGTGACATTTAGCTCCTAGAACTTAAATTGTCAAGGAATGTGTCAGCGAATTCAAGTAATATAATTTTGTCAGTAGGTTGTTGTAGGGTGGATGTCTTGGCTTTCACCGTTACTCTTCAAACAAAGTCGTCTTTATCATTTTGTTGTACATCCATGATACAGGCAAGCGGCCAGCAGCTCTGCGGACAGTTCGCATTGGCCACTGAGACGATGTCGCCAGTGATAAAATTCCTCTGGGGTCGATTCCATTTCTGTCTTTCTTGAAGGGATGGGAGGTACTCCTTGATACACCTTCGCCAGAATACATCCGCCAGGTACTGGATCTGTCGCCGCCGCTTGCAAGAGTATATTTCATCCTTCTGAAAGAACCCAGGTGGTAGCGATGGTCCTGAGTGGAGCAAGAGCAGATGATTCGGCGTGAGTGCCTCCAAATCTTTTGGATCATCTGACACTTTAGTGACAGGTCTGCCGTTAATGATAGACTCCACCTCACACATCAAGGTTACCAAGCCTTCTTCATTGAGGATCTGCTCTTTCATGAGGGTGCCCATGACTCTTCTCACCGTTCATATGTAGTGTTCCCAAACTCTGCCATGATGGGATCTGCCAGGAGGGTTGAATGTCCATTTCACATTTCGTTGTAGTAGGAATTCCCCAATCTTGTGTTGATTTCAACCCTTGATCGCTTCCCGCAGCTCCTTTTCCCCACAAACAAAATTTCCTCCATTGTCGCACCTCACTTCTTGGGGTTGGCATCTTCGAGCAATGAACCGTCGCATCACGTTGATAAAGGAATCTGTGTCCAGACTCTGGGAGACTTCTAAGTGGATTGCTTGTATGGACATACAAGTAAACAGAACACCATTTCTTCTGACAAGGCTTCTCCCTCTTTGCACGAGAAATGGACTGAAACAGTCAATTCCTGCAAACGTAAAGAGCGGTTTTGTAGGTGTCACACGGTCTGTGGGCAGGTCTGCCATTTTCTGCTTTCCTAGTGGGGCTTGCCTCCTTTTGCAATCGAAACGGTCAATGACAACCCTCCTTACAGCTGTCCTCCCTTTGATAATCCAAAACTTTCCTTGAATCATGGATAACACATGCTCTAGACCGGAAACACCAGACATCAAGTGGTACTAGTGCACAATCAAATCTATGTGGTGCTTATGTGGTAGAATAATTTGGTGCTTTGCAGCGTATGGGATTGGTGCTTGTTTTACTCGCCCACCAACATATAGCAGACCAGTGACTTTCAGTGGATCAAACTTGTAGATCACACTCAATTTCTTAATTGCACTCTTCAAGTCATCGCTTCCGTTTACTTCTTCTTGTTCTTCGAGCCATGACAACTCTTCCTTGAACTTTGTTGTTGGATGAATTTTAGAACTTCTTTTTCTGCTTTGTCAATGTCGTCTACATTAATAGGCTCGTATGTCCTGTCTTCAGAGGAGTCATGTACTAGTACCAGTCCAGTCTTTTAGATGATTGCTTTAGCTTCTCCCGGTAGTGAAAAATCTAGGCAACGAATTTCTTAAGACGAGACCATGATGAAAAGTACCCAAGGAGTTGATTGATACAATTAATACTGGCGCTGGTAAGAGAGAAAAGGGCTTGAGTATCCCTCTTGATTTCAGGGTCTTCATCTGGCATTTGGGCAACTGGTTGTATGGGCCACTTTGATTTGGGCTCCCAGAGAAAATCTGGACCATTTATTCCTAATGATGGAACCCACCGTAAGACCTCCCAAAGCGCCGTCTGCAGGATTCCCCTCTGAACTCACATACATCCACTAGGACAGGGAAGATGCATCATGTATGATGGCTATCCTATTAGCAACAAATGTGTGGAACCTCTTGTCGTTGTTTCTCATGTAGCTGATTACACAAGTACTTTCTGTCCAAAATACAGATTCATCTACTGGGAGAATGATTTCTCTTCAAAGTGTCTTTTCCAGCCTGGATGCCACGAGAGCTGCTGACAACTCTAATCTTGGTATTGTCACAGTCTTGAGCGGTGCAGTCCTTGCCTTTCCCATCATGAAGGTACAGTGTATTGCACCTTTATCATCCAGAAATCTGAGGTAAGAGACCACACCATAGCCTTGTTGCGAGGCATCTGAGAAATGGTGTAGTTGCACAGACATGATTTTACCAAAGCCCTGTGGCTTCAAACAGTGATCAACTAAGAGCTGTTCAAGCTTTGGTAGATCTTAGCCAACGATTCTTTTCATCGTCAGGAATTGGGTCATCCCACTCCAACCTTCTATGGCACAAATCTTGTAGAATCACTTTGGCTGGGAGGACAACCAGGGCTACGAAACCAAGAGGATTGTACAACGAGCAAACAACTGAAAGTAGCCCTCTTCTTGTGAGGGGTTTGCATTTAACTTCAATCTTGAAACAAAACTTGTCAAGTTCAGCATCCCAATGTACCTCAAGAGCATGCTCGACGGGCAGCTGACCATCGTGGAGATCCTTGAACATGCAAGCTCTTTCAGACACAGGAAGAGATTCAATGACCTTGTGAGTTTGAAACACATTTGGTTAAATTGAAACCTCCCATTTCTAGAAGCCTTTTGAGATCATCAGTCAGACGGATAGCTTCCTTTTCCCCTGGCACGGACTTTAAGCAGTCGTCCACGTAAAAGTTTCTTTTGACTGTGTTGATTGCCTCAGAGTCGAATTGTTGCAAGTTGTTGTCAGTTCATTACCTTAGAGGAAAGTTTGCACAGTTTGGAGAAGACACTGCACCAAATAAATGAACTCTCATTTGATACTCTTCAAGTTGACTTTCCAGATCATTCCCAGGCCACCAAAGGAAACGTAGGACATCAGAATCGTCAGCAGGAACATGAACTTGGTAGAACATAGACTCTATGTTGGCGATAACAGTGATCCGTTCCTGTTGGAACTGAGTAAGAACACCAATGAAGGAGTTGGTCATATCTGGGCCCTGTAGCAGTATGTCGTTGGGAGAAATGTCCCTGTATTTCGCTGCACAGTCAAATACGACACAAACTTCTCAGGTTTCTTTGGATGGAAGACTGGGTGATGCAGTAAAAACCAAGTAGCCTCTCCTGATCTATTAGCCTGATGATTCGGCATACGAACGGTGAGAAAAGTCATGGGCACCCTCACGAAAGAGCAGATCCTCAATGAAGAAGGCTTGGTAACCTTGATGTGTGAGGGAGTCTATCATTAACGGCAGACCTGTCACTAAAGTGTCAGATGATCCAAAAGATTTGGAGGCACTCATGCCGAATCATCTGCTATTTCAGGGTGGTGAATATCTCCATGGCAAGGCTATGTCATAGTGGCCTTCTTTGAGATTGGCAGTAGATTCCATGATTTCCAGAGCTCTTTTGTTGTCAAGAGACATCTCCCTCTCATTGTCAAGCAACAAATCGTTGAATTCCATATTGCAAAATCTTTGGAACATGTGATCGAGCTCAGCATCTCTTCTAATGAAATTGGTAGTACAAGTAACATTCCCATTTCTGCCTAGTGGACCATTGATTGCCCAGCCAAGCAAAGTTCTTGTTGCATATGGACCTCCATCCTGACTCTCCTTGACTTCTTTCAGTTCCAGAGCTTTAGGTATGTCATGGCCTATCAGTAAACCAACATGAGCACCTATTTCTGCAATACGTATTCCTTTCAGATGGGGCCACCTGTCAACATCATCTTGACTAGGTATATTTTCTGATGAAATTGGCAGTGCAGGAGTAGAGAACACAAGTGGTAGCTTAATAAAAATTATTTTCATCTAAGTCGAAGACTTCTAACTGGACCAAAGAACTCGTTCTCGTACTATTTTCTCTTTCCATTGTGGTTAGGGATAATGTGGTGTCGATACCTCTGACTCCAAGCTCCTTCAATAGTTGATCACTGCAGAAGGTCGTATTCAAGCTACCATCTAGGAAGGCGCACGTGCACAAAAGGGTGTCGTTCCCTTTGGCTCTCACTTTGACTGGTACTACTGGTAATCCAGTTACTGACGTTCTGGCACTGGTAACAGCACAGCGTGGCTTGCCAACACTTACAAAGGTGCTCTGAGCTCCAATCTCTGGCTGGGTTGCGTCATCAATTCGTGTCGAAGGTGGGCGTAGGAATGTTGCACGTTTGTCATGACACCTGTCCACCTTGCAAAAGCTTGTCTTGCACAAGGTAGTACAATCTGGCACTATAGCTTGTGGTTTTAGCTTCAATCATGATCTCAAATGCTCTAATAAAATTGCAGTAGCTGTTGCACTTGGTTGCACTTGGTGGTTTTGCTGTTGTTCTATATGTATCATATTACCATTCTGTTCCTGCTGCTCCCACTGCAGGTCCATAAATTGTCGAAATCCTTCCTTGCTGGAAATATAATTTTGAGAATCCACCTCTCTTTGCCACTGTCCTCCAGCACCCAGTTCAAAAATTGGAAGCTGTTCAGTCCACGCAGGGAGTCACTGGGTGTTGCTAGGCTCTACTTTAGACACTTTAGGCTCGCAGAAGACCTTTTTAACTGCGGTTGGAACAATACTTCGGAAGCCCCTAATCTCACCAGCCACCATGAACCCTGCTTTGGCTTCTGCCAAGACACGTTCTTCTGCTTTAGCTTTAGCAATCTCTTGAGTGCTAGCTGTTGCTTCCTTTGTTGCAAGCACAGTTCTTCTTGTTGTAAGGCTTGTTGCTTTCGCAGCATTGAGGCCTCGGCTGCCAAGGATGCTCTTTTTGCTGCGGCTGCTACTCTGCTACTCTCTGCTACACACTGAACTGCTTCTCGAGGATCACGAGCTGGCCTTAGATCTCTAGGCAATCCCTGTAAACTTTGAAGCAGTTCGAGAGCCAGCATTGTTAACGGAGTCCTCAGGTTGAAGGTTCAGTTGGCTGATTGTTCCTCGTGGTTGTTTAAAGCCAACTTGTATCCAGTAATCGATTATTCTTCTAGAATCGTTAGCCAAGAGTAGTGTAGCATCGTAGTATTCATGTGACAAAACTGTAGCTCTTAAATTTGTACAAGTACACGTGCAAAAAATGTAAATTATTTGTCCCATAGGGATATCATGATTTGCATAGGAAATGAAAACAATAAGAAGCAACACAAGAATGTTACATTGAGAATAAAATGTTAAGACTCGTTTGCGCTAAAGCAAGCTATCCCATGTTACCATATCAACTTGGTGAAAGATCTTGAGATAGTAATTTAAAAAGATCAAACACTCTAATATTCATCAACTTCTGTGACCCCTACTTACAGCAGGATAGTGACTGAAACTAAGTTTCAATCACTAGCCTGCTGTAGATAGGGAGTATAAAAGTAGATGAATACAAACCAGACTTTATAGCCTCAAGATACAGTATACAGCATGGATACAGCATTCCTGAGTTCTGATTGGATTAATAGGCACTAAATTCCTTATCAGTCACATCAAATAATAGGTTATAGGGAACCCTCTCCACTTGCTTTAGCAGCACATGCTTTGGAATGTTGCTGCTGTCTTAAACACACTTAACTCTGAAGTGCAGACCAAGTAAACTTACAAGATCTTCAAAACAAACTTTCATTAAAAATATATAGAGCCTTGATTAAAACATACTTTGAAGTTGTAGAGATGTGCAAACAGGGCTACTACATTAACACACTCTTTCCCTTGTCCATAGCTGTCTCTGCCACTCTTGTGCAGATGGTCAAACAGCTCTGCAAGTCTTTCAGTAAAAAAAGCAGCTGAAAACAATTCAAGATGAATCAAGCAAAGTAAATGATTATAGGCCTGAAGCAAGTTTCTGAAAGGGTCACAAACAATCTAGGAAACAATTTTTTATTTATGTGGCAAAATTGAAAAAACCATGTTACAGAACTTTGCAAGAGATCCCTAGTGGTATAACTGAAAATCTGTGACCACACCTAACGACATTCTATTAACTTATTGCACATTGCAATTTTACATACTTTATCCTACTGTGTCACAATTTATTGGACAACAACAAGGTAAAAGCTACAAATCATAAAAGCAAAAATCAACTCCTTCTGTCAGAATTGTGACAAGGTGTCCAGGTCAGCCTAGTGTAATATCTATTATTTTTGCATTGTAAAATGTTCTCATCATACCCAGGGATTGCACAATAAGCACTTAACAGTACTAAAGTTCTGTTTGCTTCAGTTGGGTCTCAAAAAGGTTTAATGTTTTCACTTCTTCTTTTTCTTCTGTATTTCTGAATAATTACCTGTATGACTAGTATCCCCTGTAGTCTATTATCATTAAAATTGTATTGTAACAAAAATTCAAAGTTTTAATATATTAGTTTAGTATAAATCTACTAGCGTTCTATCATGCATGCCGTTCCCTGATTGGCTAAGCTACCCACTATCTATTCTGTGATAGATAGTGAGTAGCGTAGCAGTGTGCCCTTGTTAACGAAATGCAGCAGGCACCTTCTTGGCGTTTTTGAAGTGTCTGTGAAGAAGATTTAGATAAAGTTTTGAACAACTAGTAGATTTATACTGAAACAATTTCATTATTCGCTTTCGCTTTCTATGCATGATACATGTAGTTGACTCAGGCTTCGCCCTTGTCAACTATCACGCGGTAGAAATCTCAAGCTCATAATCTAATTGTTTAATATGTTATCACACAAGTGGTAAATGTAGGTCCGGATGGTTGAGGTCTAAAGAGCTGAGGGTTATCAATCCAAATACAAACAGTATCACAGTTGGCCCTCTAGTTTTGCTTATGAGGGAGACATCAATATCTTACGGTATTGTTGTCTCACTTTACCACCTGTGACTGGTTTGAAAACTTGCCATGAGCAACACAACACTGAAATGGGTTCCTCAAGAGCACTTCAAATTTCTGGACCCATTCAGAACTTTACAATGGTGAATCGCCGCTAATCTTTTACTTAATGCCATTTGCACAGTTGAGATAAATTTGTCGAAATTCTTGTTTTTTCTTTCCTCGATACTTTGGAAAACTTCACGTAATACACCCAATGAATTTCTTTAGTTTCTAAAAGGATTTTCAAAGCTCAAAAGCAAAATATTCAAGTAACTCACTGGCAAACAGAAAACTTCATTGCATGCCAGTATCCTTGGCAAGTCTTTGCATGTACTGGGAATTTGTATTTTAATCAAAAGTACTGTCACGTTTTTTTTCGCTTAGTTTTCTCAAAGAATGGTTAAATTGCAATGCAAAGTTATATGCGATTTTCAGACTCAACATCACATTATATTGGCGGCTAGTTGGGAGAAAATATATTCTCGTATTGGGCTCTGTCGCTTTGTGACTCCGCCTAATGTGAGAATATATTTTCTCTCAACTAGCCGCCAATATAATGTGGTATTGCCATCTAAAAAACGCATTTAGTTTATAAGAAATAGTTATTTCTACATATTCTGATTGATTAACTGAGATGTGATTAGCAAAGCACTGTTCACCTCTGCACAGCCAGAGGTGAAACAAAATGGCTTCTTGTAACTTTTGGTCCGCTAGTTATTCAGCTTGTGTGGTAACTACTAAAACAATAATTATTATTATTCACCTCAGTGTTGGTGAAAGTGGTGGATATTTACTGAACCATGAAGCAGCAAGGTAAATATCCACCACTATTCACCTCCACTTCTGTGAATAATACTGTTAATTATAATCCATCAAATATTTTTGTGTGCGTGCAATTGGTCTAAATGTTTCACCTGATTAAATGTTCCATGGGGAATATCTGAGTGAAATTCCTCAATTTTCAAAACCGCCCTGGTTGTGAAAAATATTTGAAGGATGATAAACACAATATCTAGTTGGTACTAAAATATGCTCGCATATTTGTCCTTGGACATTATCTGTTCCTCAAAGCTCACAGTTTCCCTCAAGCTATGCTCTCGGAAAACAGTTTTCTTCTTGCAAATTTTTGTGCCAAATGGAGGCTATTGTTTTTATGTCACTGATGTCACATAGCGGGTATATAACTCAGATCACTTCTTTAGCTCTCTAAATCAAAATATTACTGGTATACTTTTGTCCAATTGGCTGATACAAAACTCTACCGATAAAAGAGATCAACACAAACTTACCAACTTCAGTTCCAATATGACTTGAAAGAATTGCCAATAACATGACATGTTCCATCAGAAGTTTTTCAGGCATCAGTGATGTAGATACACATGACCCCAGAATAAGATTGCTTAGTATCTTGTTCATATCTGGGAGAAATTGAGAGGCAATACTTGTGAAGAGGTTGTTTCATTAAGGGGTTTTGACATTGGTTGTGCTCGCACTCAGGGTGGGAGATGGGGAAACGAGGTCATAAAGATTGCCAAGTGTATTCCTGCAAAATATCTTTGGAAAGCAGGAGGTCTTTATATCACTTCGAGAGAAAACATAGACATTTGCATGGTCAGAAAGATCAGCTTTGCATTCTCTAGCTTGTTTTACTAGCAGTGTTTAATGAGTTCAAGCAGTTAGAAATAATTTATTGGACTTGCAAAGATACAACAGATACCACACATTACATTTTTCTGTTCCTTAAAAGAAGTCCATACCATCCCAAAAAAAAGCCATCCAAAATTCTAAATGATGTGTTCAGACATTGATGATCCGTTTAAGTGTGAGAGGTCACATTATAAACCAACTTGCCAACGACAGACAAAATGAATAACATGGATGAAAAACAAGTGAGTTTCAGCATAATTTGTCCATTTTTACTGTTATGAAGGACACAGCTTCATAAGGGTAAAATTGTTTTACCTTTAAAAAGGGTGGACTTGATTAAGTGTAGCTGTTTTGTGTCATTGTAATTAAGTGTAAGTAGCGTGAACTAAGACAGTTTTAACTTAGTCTGTGTTACAGAATGGTAAATGTTTGTGGAGATTAATGTACGGACTTATCAAATGTTTGTCAAGTGGTAGAAATTGTGTGTTATTCAAATTTTAATGCTTCCTTGAACTCATTTGGTTCCTTGATTATCAGCATTTTCCAAATCAAAGCCATGACATTTTTATCCTGGTATTGCTGGGATTTTTTAGGTCTACCACGACACGTTATCTTAAGAAGTCCAAAGATTTTGACATTCTGAACGTTTCAGAGGACACTCTGAGGACTTTTTGTCCCAGTCCTAGAACAAGCATATCTTCATTTAGTCTGGAGTGTCAGCCCTCTTCTTGCCTTAACCCCCAAGGGGCCCAGGAAAGAAGGGCGTCTGAATTTCCAGTGTCATAGTGTCCTCATGTGATGTTGTACACTATTTTAGGAAATGCTCCATAAATTTACCAGTAGAATCTAAGTATGTCAACCCAGACCGTGCTGAGCTTGGTTTTCTATGGTATGCATATGCAAGTTTGACACCGCATTGAAATATACTACTTTTCCTTCAAATGTGATGGAAACCAAATCAAAAAGGGTTTTGCTTCCTATTGCAAGCTTATTGTAAACATATCTGTAAACACACATTGTGCTCATGCCAGTTGAGTTTTTTTTATCTTCCCTAAGCCTTTATCAGTTACAAACTTCCCCCAAACTCCCATACAAAACATGGTTTATTCTCACTCTTTAACTGGAAATTGTTTTTGAATTTATCTTAGGGCCAAGTTGCACAAGAGGGCAATTTGGGATTTGTCCCAAACAAATTCAGAATGAAATTGGCCAGTGACTAGAGATTTGTCTGGAAAAGCTCCAGTTGCACTTGAAAACAAAATCTGTCAACACAACAGAATAAGTACATGTAGCTTTTCTTTTTCTTTGCCTAATCTTTCTTAAGTTCTCAGCTAACGAAAGTGTACTGGGTGACAAAGTTGCAGTTGATTCCAACATTTCGCTGTCTTCTGGGCATGAGTCAGACTCGTGGTTGAAGGAGCTGGACTAGGAGTTCCTCGATCATTAGGAAATGTGCAAGGGCCACAAGGCAAACCTGGATAGATCAATCCAAGGAAATGTTGTTGCACTTGGTCATGTTGGAACGGTGTTCCATTGATTCCATGCACCTGGATCGTGATGTTGCAAAATGAAAACGTGATTTATAAAATTTACAGTGAAGTCTACCGCATGAAGCCTCTGCTACACATCATGTTTTGTTTTACAAGATTTGTATAAGTTTGGCCTGCTTCAGAAGTACCGTAAATGTCCATGTATAAGCCATACTTTTTTTCACAAAATTGAAGCCAAAAACCAAGGGTGCCGCTTATCCACAGGTACATCTGTGTTTGGAGTTCTCAAAAACCTAATTAATATTCGTAAAACTTCTTAAGATGTTAAGAAAAAAACCTAAAAGAAACTGAGAGTGTGTTGATGTTGTTCATCAGTGTTTCAAAACCGTGGTTGTTTGCCCTTGTTTGTTTATAGCAATACAACTCTACTGGAACTTCAAACTTCATTGTTAGTTTTTTCCAAAATCTACACTTCCAAATTGGGGATGCAGCTTATCTACAGATGCGATATATACATGGACACTTATGGTAGTCTGCCGCGACTTCGAAGTTTGTCCGTCACTGACCAAATTTAGTCCTTTGGTGAACAAACCAGTCGCACCTGGATTTTCATTGTGATGACAGATGTTTGACAAAAGTAAACAGTTTTTCCCCTACTGTTCAAATGAAATCAATATTAAGTTAAGGGTCCTAACTGTGAAGACAGGGAAAGCTGAGAGAAATAAAAGTACATATTAGAAAATAACAGTTGCAAATGCCAGGCGTATTTTCAGTTAAACTGAATGGTGAGCCCCAGGAGGACTGTAGTCAGATTTTTAAAGTCATTTGCCTTGTCTTGGCCCTGAATCGTGCAACTTCAAGGAACCTTATTGATTTAGCTTTCTAGTTTTAAGACTACACTAGCAGCGTCAGATACCTTAGTGGTGCACTGGTCACCCAAATTTCAGGGTTCTCTTGAAATTGTCAGAGGTTTTATCTTTAACTGCTATTTGTTGTGAAGTATTTAATTTGTTCTTAAGTAAAGAAGGAAAGCCGTGAAAGGGTACATCATCGCTGTCTTGGATAGTGCAAAAGATATAATACTTGGCCAACAAGGTGACATAGTTTAAAATGTCTTTTGATTCTGTGGTGTTATCAAGCCAACCAAAAAGGATATTACATTCGGTGAGAGTTATTATGTTTTTATGTTTTTCACACAACCAATTTTGAAATGCAGACCAGAAATTGGAAATTACAGAAAAGGTAAAATAAGTGAGGCAATGTTTGCGGCTGCATTTTGCATAGCTGACAGATTTCAGAATTGCATAGCTTCATACGGAAAAGGGACCACCTAGTTGGAAGTATGTTGTGGATAATTTTATATTGAAAAATTTGAAGCTTTCTTTCGAGCGTGGTAACAAAGGGGAGGTTATAAATTTTCTTTAAGCATTCTTTTGAGAAACCATATTGTAGTAATTTTGGTTCAGCTGTTGGGGGTCGGAAGTAGTGGTCTATAATTGCTGCATAGACAGCACAGGTGGTGAAATTCTTAGACAGACGAGGCTCTTGTGACACGTCATTTTCAATTGCGATTTCTGTGCGTTTGATTGTGCATCTCCAGCTTGGTGGAATGGTGNGATGCTCCCTCATCATAGGCCTGCAGTGCGTGCAGAGAGCTAGATAATAAAGCTCTGAGGAGATAATATTGTTCTTCAGTGGTCTGTGTTCCTGAACTAACTAACAGTTGGTTTAGAGTTCAATCTCTGACACAACAAACAAGTTCAAATAACACAAGTTTCCAAAATCTTAACAATTAGTTTAGAGTTCGCTAACATCTAACAACAATCCTCGACTGGTATTGTTCAATCGAGATTCCCATACTTACTTTTGTCATTTTGAAATAAGCCTCCGTAAATTCTGAACAGTGCAAGGAGAATGCAACTGCAATACAGCTTCTTTCTCTTTATGGCACTTTCAGGTGGCTTCAGACACTTTCAAACACTTTCAGACACTCAGTGGTGCAATCCGCACCAAAACTGGTAGATCCAGCCAATAGTTGTTGGCTTGCGAGAGTGCAACGACTCCTTTCAGTGTAGTACAACCAGTACCAAAGATTCAAGCAGTTAAATGTTGTCTTTTGATAGCATAAAAGCTTTTGCACAAGATGCACTTATCACACAAGCCAGGTCTGGGTGTGTTGGCTTGTGTGAAGAGAACTAACTCGTGATATGATCACCTGAAAAAAATCACTCGAGACCACGCTTACAACCAAGATGGCTGACTCAAACAAGTGCGCCATACGACACTAGACCATGTGACAGGTGCTCAACTCTCGTGGACAAATAAATAAATCCAATGATGCTATAATGTGGCTATACACTTTGTGTAAGCCAAACAAAAACCGTGTTCTTATTGGTTCCAAACCTGAAATAAGCACATGGATGTTCTTCACCAAAAAAGGGTTAAATAAGAAAAGAAAAAACCAGTGGCTTAAAAGAAAAAAAAGCTGACGGATTCTGGAATCGAACTCAGGTCCACTAGATTGGAACGCAAGTGCTGACCATTGTAACATGTAAGAAACCTTGCCCCAGGGGAAAAAATTACAAAGCACTTCAGCCTTAACTCAAATTGGCTAGCAAATATGTGAATTAGCTAACAAATATGCGACATATGTTCCTGCAACTTCTAATGAGAAATGGCAGACATTGACCAAAGAACCTTATTTCCTGTAAGCAAAGCATGCTGACAGCAAATTATACATGCTTCTGCAGATGACCCAGTGTTACAGCAGCTACACTACATCATCTAGAATGGTTGGCCAGACAGATGTCTGTACCCATACTAAGTCCTTGACTCTCGTTATGGGTTGATGGTTCAGGGGGATCTCATTTTCAAATGGCTGCAATTAGTAGATCCAGTAACCTTACAGAGGAACTCACCGCTGTTGCACATGCCTCTCACATAAGCATCGAAGGTTACATCCACAGAACTTGGGATACCCTTTACTTGCCTAGTATGGCAACAAAAGTACTCCAGGTAAGAAAGTACCTGGTCAAGTATTCCAGGTAAGGTAAGGTAAAGTCTGCATACCAGCCAAGTGGCCCACCAGGCTGGAGCTTATCCCAGTTTCTGTAGGATGAAGCGACTAGGAGTAAGGAACCTCTAAAATCAAATGAACTGGTGGTACAACCATGGTGAAGCTGGTCCTCATGGTTATAAAGTACAAATGGGTAAGTCCATTTACAGATGTAATTGCTTCAAATTATCTCACCCAGGAATAATGACCATCAGACCAGCCCTTACCTGACAGCACCACAGAACCATGAAACCCAGCTCATACCCAGTGGGTCTAGTCAGGAAACAAACTGCTTAAGTGAGCCTGTGGAAGCACCCACAGAACACAAATCTTTGGTTATATCCAGCCCCTGCAGAGTCACCCCCTTCTTGGACAAAGAATTATGTCATGACTTGAATGAGATGCAGACAAGAACAGTGAACATTTAGTTATTTTGTTTGAACATTTAGTGACAATAACATTGAACATTGGACTCAAAAAAATGTCAAAAAAATAAGTGACTTGGTTTTGTTTTGTTTTCCTTATGAGAGGAAAGGTGTATTGAGATACCTCATGATTATCACATGATCAATGTGAATGTCATTCAATTAGATGGGTTTTTTCCTAGTTGCGTGATGTTCGAGTTCAGATCTTGAATGAACTAGCTAAAATGTTCTGGGCCTGAATAAATCTTGACAGCTCCTCTGTAAATTATAGCAACCCAAACATTGGTTTGGTTAAAAACCTTTTTAAAATTTCAAAATTTGCTTGTATTTTTCAAAGAAACTTCAAACCCCATTGTAGATTGTGCCTGAAGTAACAGCTGATTTTTAAACTTGTCTAAATGCCACTAAACATTTTTGTCTGAGAATACAGACAAAGATTATTGACCTTTCCCAACATGATCAATAAGCTACATTAGGCGGATCAAACAATACACAGGAAAAGAAACCAGCAGCACCAAGTTGTAGCCATTTGAATATACTACTTTTTGAGCAACAAATAATGACCTGCAAATAACTGCCTACAAAATAATAATGGTCTGCTCATGCATAGTAGTGTCTAAATGTGTTTTGCTGCAAATAATATTCTGCTATTGCATAATTGAAACCACTAAACTATAGACATACATGAACAGGGTGTAGAACCATTGAAGAACCTTGGGAAGCCAAGGAAACAGAAGCTTAATACACTTTACAACCATGTGTTTTTGTGGTTATGCTGGTATGCATCATAGCTAAGTACTTTCTTATGAAAACAGTCAGAAATCTTGTTCTAAAAATTGTCAAGTTTTGGCCTAAAGGAGCACTCCTGTCTTTGTTTCTTTTGTTCTCTGAGGTTTTGAGTGATGACAGATGTTTGGTGACATGGAACATTTAACATTATTTTTACTACAACATACTTTGTAACTGCAAGTATTCCAGTAAAAATGGAAATGTTTCATGTGTAATTTATGGTTGGAGATTTCTATGACAACGACAATCTTAAATTGACAGTAAACTACAGATAATTAATAATAAATTGAAGGATTTTGTGCAGAAAGGGCATGTATTGCCCGAAAAGCGATATACATGTGCGCTCTTTTTTAGTACAAAATCCTCATCCTAACCATTTAATAAAGAAATGCTGGTTAACGTACCATTTCTGCTATTGTGGATGAAAATGTTTTCTATTTCATTGCTGATGACTGCCATATTTCTTTCACTAAGCCTGCCACAAATAAAAATAGGAACTATGAATTAACAAGTTTCATCTACATCTACATCTACATTTATTTAGTTGATAAGGTCCCGCAAGACATCACATCAACTGTACCAAACATATATGCACATATGCATAAGCTAGACAAAAAGGATAATTAAAAAATAATTCTTAAGTATAGTTTCTGAGTATTATCACTGAGAAAAAGTTCAAAACCGTGGTTCCCAGAATATTTTGAAAAAAAATTACTAGAATCTCGAATTTCAGTCATTACCATATTTCTAATCAGTTTCTCAACTTTTTGGACCCTTTCCAAATCATCTCTCTACAAATTGTGGTATCCCAATGATCGTATGTCATAAAATTCTCCCTGCCATCCTCGTGGTATCCAAGTTCTCCAGGTAAAACCTGCACTGGCAGCATGTACCAGGTTTCTTTTTTACTCAGCTCAGTTCACATTACAACGACAAAAATTAATAATAAATAAATAAATTACAACATTTAGAGAGGAAGCCATATCAGCCCTTGCTGATTTTCATTGGTGTCCTCTATCCAGGTCAAATTGGAAATTTTTGGAAATGTTGGTTTTTCAGAAGAAAACTGAAATATCTGGAGAAAAAACTTCAGAAAAAGTCGAGAACTAACAACAAACTCAACCCACATATGGTACCAGGTCAGAGTTGAACTCAGACCCACACTGGTGACTGGCATTCGCTCTCACCACTCCACCAACACAACTCCCCTAAAGTGTTCTTAAAACATAATGACAAGCCAAATTATTTTCTTGAGTACCTAATACTTTCTATAGTTTAACAACAGTTGCAGGACAGGAATGAAGTACATCTCAAGCAGTTTAAGGCCTGGGTCAGGAATATAAAGTAGAATTATGATTGGGCAGCTATATCTCTTGTTCTATTTGTTTTACCAAGCTGAACTTTTCCCTAATTATAAAACTTGTCGTCCTGCCTTGCCTTAACATATTACTTTGACATGTCACGTGATCATTTTGTTAAAATTCAGTAAATAGGCAAATTGGTGGCGAATTTTCATTCTATTGTTCAATAAATAAGCTTCTGCGATGCAAATTTAAATTACCTACTTTGCTACGTTTGGGAGATCTCCTTTGATTTCGTTTATAGAAGATATAAATGGTCAAAACTCAAATTTTGTTGAAAAAAGGGACCTTTCACCCTATAAAATTTTTCTGTGAAAAGAGGGACGGTCATTCCAAACGTGAGAGGATGGAAATAATTGACCTGCATCTAAAACACGTTTTGCAGGATGTTTTTACTAAAAACTGCTACCAATTCCTCAAATAATGGCTATTTTCCACTAATCGTCATGTAACATGTCACATGACCTGTCAGAAGTACCTACTCTACTTTAAAATGTTCAGGACATCAAAACCTAACTGTGTGCTAAATCTGGTTCCATTGCCATTTATACCTTCAGAAATATAACTAATATTTTATTTTCACCAGTAAAAGCCTTTGACCCTGGCCTTAAACTACCTGAGATGTAGTTATGCAATGATTTTCTTGTGGCATAACTTGATTATTCTGCATATGACTTGATTATTCTTTGTATACAAGCCTAAAGGGTTGCGCACATGCTGAAAAGTCAAGTCGTGCATGGTGTATTTCATGGTATACCAGTAGAATCCATTTCAAAACAGACCAAAAATTATTTTCGCCAGTGATAAAACACCATGTATTATCTTGATAAGGTAAGCTCTTGTCTATTACATCTCTGTCAATTCCAAGCCCCTCGATTCCTACTCCCCGCCCCCTGCCTCGGCATTTGCTGAAGCTCCACTGTGGTGATTTGAACAAGTACCATAAACTTCCGAAAATAAGCCCCTCCATATAGAAGCCCCCCAAGTCTGAAATGCAAAAATACCTCCTATAGTAAGCCCCTCCGAATATAAGCCCCCAAAGGCTTGTATTTAGAAATTATCATCAATTATACAAACCAAAGCAAACTACAACTAATCACCGTTATCAGGAAGCCTTTTTTAGTCATGAAAGAATGATTCCATGCACTAAATTAATGTGGTCAACAAGTACTGAAGTTTATTGCTTTTTACGCAGTTTGCTCTTCACTTGCGCCTTGAATTCCTTCGGTCTGTAGACAAAGTATTTGCAAGGAAGTTCGGTTTATTGCCATTGTGTTTGAACTTGGCATTTTCAGTGTGATTAATTTGTTACAAACTTCTAGCCAAAACACTAATATTACCAGTTGCACATTCAAACTTTTGAAACAAATGTCCCTCCAATTATAAGCCCAGCCAATTTTGAAATGCAAATTTCCCTCCCATAATAAGCCCCTCCGAATATAAGCCCCTCAAAAATGTCCTTTGAAAAATATAAGCCCCGGGGCTTATTTTCAGAATTTTATGGTATTCTAGCCTCTCCACTCAGCATTTGAAACATTTTTTGCACAAACAATTACAAATGTCCAACAAATTACACCCAGCCTGTTTTATGAAGCTTGAATAGGCGTAGAAGTTTTCGTAGAGAGCTACACCTCTACGCTTTTATCACCGATCACTTTGTACTTCTTCTCTTGCACGTGCATAAGTACGTGTAATATAGGAGGCACCATGGTTTCTGGATTTTTGCTCTGGTTTCTCACGAGATTGCTGTGGTATCTAATTAACGTGGATCATGTCATAGGTTATTGTCTTTAATACCTCATGAATAAAATGCTGTGGTTTATTGTTAAATTGCTGTGGTATCTCATCAACATGTTCTGCTGTAGCATCTCATTATATATTACGACAAACAATTAAACTTCATTAACACAATACATTATTTTGTGTGGTAGATTACACTAACATTGATGATGTCAGGATTGAGGTGTGGCTCATGAATAAAATGAGCGGGAAACTTCCTAACATATGCAGAACATGTCCAGGCAAGTAAGCAAGCTTTGATACCAACTAGGTTAAGTTTGTTCGAAACACAAAATTTATCTATATTTTCAACCAAAAAAGACAGCGAAAAACACCATAAGTGCCACTTTTTAACTCAGATAATGATGTAGTCATTAATCCCAGATATAGGTATGGATGAGACATCGCACCCCCTCCTTCCTTCCATCCTTCCTTCCTTCGATTCCTGTTAACTTTTTCTAAATCCGCTGACTAGTATATCAAGAGTTTGCAGTCAAGTGCGCCGCCCAGTAAAATTTATTTATCAAGTGATTTGTTTCAGTGGCAAAGTTTCTTATTCATGGATCAATAAGACGGTTGACAGTGTAAGTTTTCTTTTTACTTAAAGCTCCCAGCGATAAACCAACTCAATACAAATGTTCAAGGGGCTAAATAGTGTATTTTGAGTTTGAAATTGATCAAAGTACTAAACAAATTCTCGAACGATTAAAAGCTCCAGATGATTTTTTTAAAACACAAGTATTGGAACGGGCAAGCACTACCTTTTGGTTTTTTTTTTTTGGGGGGGGGGGATATACATGCATGCATTGATAAAAAAAAAGTAATAAATGAAGATAAAAAGACAAAAATTCATGCATCCCACGAAAATTGAACCTTCAGCCTCCCACATGTAGAGTGAACACCTTCTCCACTGAGGAACATCAGCAACAATTACCATTTCTTGATAAGTATCGTCCATTAAAATCTGTTTAGAGGTTTGACCGCGGTGCCTTTTAACATACTCAATGGAGCTGGAGTAATGTTCATACAGCTCGCGATCAAACTACATTTGGACACAAGCCATGGACTGGCATTATTTCTGGAGAGGGGAAATCTTGATGCTTTGTACACCATCATAGGTAAGCTAATATTGCAAAATAAAATATGGATGGATGGCAACAAATGTTCTATTGTTCTTCTTTGGATTTAGCTGGGAAGTATCTCTCCATCTCCACATAGGCGATATCCTAAGTGATTACAACATTAAACTAGCGAGACAATCTCAGATAGTGCAGAGTGCAATTATTGATGGCTCTGACACGGTAGTCACACAGGTCCTCACCCCTGCCCGGTTCATTCCCGGTTAGTATTTACCTTGGTACCTAGGGCTTTTCCCCTTGCAGAATATGAACAGCCAGAAACCTTGATAAAACAGAATCCTAGCAGTGTCTATGTTTCATGAGTGTATTTTCATTCTTTGTCCAAAAATAACTTACAACTGCTGTTTTTCAAGACAGCTTTCAAATTTTCCTCTGGTGTTTTACCTTAATTTTTGCCCCTTGTGCGGCCCCAAAGGGTATGGTTTTTCAGCTGTTTTGGTCATAAATTGGGAATAGATTTTGGTCACTTTGGTCATAAATAGGGTATGGTTTTTGCACTCTAGTCTTGAATTGGGTAGCTATGTTTTTTAGAAAAAGCTACTTTTCCATCTTTATCGATAAGACCATCAAGAAAAAAGCCCTCCATAAACTATGTTCAGGGCAACTGTGCCAGCCGCGATGGTCATAAAAAGGGAATCCAATTTTTTTTGTCAGGTCATAAATAGGGTAGGGAAAATTGCAGATTTTGGTCATACATAGGGTAAGGGTTTTGGAAAGCGGGTTGCACACCCCCACCTACTTTCTCTGGGAGTACCCCCCTGGGACTTTCCTTCATTTCAAATTTAATAATATCCTGAAGTAGAAAACGTGACAATTTTACTTTTCATGCAATGTTTGTAACTTAATACTTTTGTTTTCCTCGCAAAGGTATGTAACATGAAACCCTTCTTTTCTTGAAAACACACAGATGTGCTTGGGTTTTTTTTCAGCGTTGAAGATAAAGTTAAATATCTGATGAGGAAATGGAAGAGGAACAATTTTCTTTTATTCAAAACGCAAATGCTCTTTTTACCGATAAACAATAACTAATTTAATTATCAAATAGTCAAGGAATACCACATTCTTATTCAGTTCTTACCTTTGTGAAAACAAAGCACTAGTGTTTCAACAAGAAGGTCAGCACTATTCAGAGTCACTATTAGGAGACTATTAGAGTCACTATTCACTGTTAGGTGCCACAGAGTCTGCAGCATTTTTAGAGCACTTTCCTGGTTTATTTTAAGGAAAAGGAAAAGCAAAACATTTCCATTCTTAATTTGAACCCTGGCAAACACACTAGTGTAGTTTGATAACAGCAGATGATATTTGCCTAACAGAGCTGGGAGTAAGGTACCGTACTCACTAGGTTAACAAGATTTGTTTGGGTGTGACACAACAAATCAATCAATCAATAAATCAAAAACTTTACTTTACTTCGAATTTCCTGATAGCAAAAACATGCTAATATCTCCAAATAAAAAAAAATGTGGCTCTGGGGATGAAAATGGAATGTATCATGTTAACGATGCTGGATCGCATACATCTTACATGTTGGGTTCTACCACAAAGAAAAGCACTCAGCATTTGTATGTGATCCCCAAAAAATGTACCTTCACCTAATATATTGTCGACAAGAAAGCTGACTAAATATCTGTGCATGCATTTAGAGTAAATTGTTTTTTGTTCCAAAGAGAATAATACCACAAACATATAGTTTGTATCCTTGATGTAAGGTGGGTATGACACATTTTTAACTAGTGCACACAGCCACCTTCTCCACCCCAGCCACTTCCTTGTCTCAAGACTTATTAATTAATTGATATTAATTAATTAAACAAACATTACAGTTTACACCTTATTGCCTTAGTGCCTAGTCCTTTAGCAGACTCAGTCCCCAAACCATCCCATCTGGACCCCCTACTTTTTCTTCCAGAAAATACGGGCTCCTGATTTTTAAATCAGGAAAATAATTAAACTTAGAACATAAAACGATGAAGTCTATTTAATCAGTGAGCAATCATTGAACTTAAAGCGGGTTAACGGTTACCATAGAAATTAATTGAAGAACAGCAGATTTTTTACCTGAGTTAGGTTAATTTTAAACTACCTTTCTGCGTGGTTTAACCCCTGGAGGAGGTCTCCCATTTAAAAAGGACAGCGGTGCTCGTTGGAATTTTTGAAAAGAACCCCCAAGAGGTACCAAGATCCTTTTTTGTTGGCATGGCTTGAAATGTTTTTCACCCCTAAGAGGTACTAATTCTAAAACTATATACTATCTCTTGTCATAATTTTTTCGGTTTAATACCCTAAAAGGTACCGCAAAAGTTCCTGCTGTGGCCCTTATGAGGCTGAAACCTCTAAGAGGTACTAAAACGGCTTTTTAACCCCTTAAAGGTATGACTAGCACCCCTGTTCTTTTTATATGGGGTCCCCCAGGGGGGTTAACACAGGTTAGTGGTTTCTTATCAGTTCCGTGCATTGGCTTTTTGTGAAATGTGTCAGTCATCATGGTCTGTGTGAAATGTTGTTCACAATGGCTGAAACAAGTGCATAATCTTCTACTGAACTAGGCGAGTGGTAACAACAGTTTGAAACAGTTGTATTACTGTAGCAGATTTCTATTTTTTTTCTAATATATGTTGGCTATACCATATCAGTCAAGTTTGCAAGGAACCCCCACACCTGAACCATGGCCTGAACAGGAAGACCTCATTCAACTTAGAAGGAGAAATTTTAATTTACCTCCACAAAGAACACAAGATATATGTTTAAGGGAAGGGGCAGTTCGTTAAAATGGCAAGAAATGCAGATGAATGAATGAATTAATAGCTGTGGACCGAGAGCATGTCCCAGTTCCTAGATGCCATAATCCATGCTTTTCTATCAATAAAGATGCTCAGAAGTGAGTATTTCTTTTTGTCATAAATGAAAGAATACGCAAAGTTCTTAATGAAAGGACTCGACGCTCATTCAGAGGTGCTCTCTTTAAAAGCCTGGGTACGAAAGTCATGCATGGTAGGATTTCTGGTGATTTTCTACAACCATCGCTGATTTTTCAGATAGAGTCAAATTTGAGGACAATTCATTCAATGGTGATGGAGAAAACTCTGACGACTACACAAAATCAACATCACGTTTGAAAAAACTGCCTTGGAAATTTGTGTATACTGCGCATGAGGAATAGAGACCACCTTAACCGTGAATGTAAAGAAACTGAAGGACACGAAACCAAAGAAAAAGAATCAAGAAACTAAAAGACTGTAGTTCTCGAAGTCTGTCATTTTGTTGGTTTATCCATGTCATGATGTCAATTGAGTTCACCCACTTCATAACCTATTTCAAGGTGGCCGCTTATAAAATATAACCCCTTTGTTTCCTCATAACCAACCTTTGACCCAGTTAAGTTATTTGGGAATTTTAACCAGGTTTCTAAAAAATAAACCCATTTAACTATGGCTGCAACCATTATATTATTCTAGACACAATGCTGCATGAATTCATTAATTTCTTCACATTTTGTTCACTGATTAAAAAGACTTCATCGTGTTATGTTCTAAGTCGTATTTTCTGGAAGAAGAAATAGGGGGGGGCCAGAAGGGGGTCGAAAAGGGGGTCCAGATTGAGGAGCCCGTGTTTTGTACCAACCCGCAAGACCCTTGCTCCTATTCAAAAAAGTAAGTTGGCACGACAGTACGGCAGTAGGCTGGTACGACAGTACAACCCTTATTTCAATTTAAAACTTTCCTTAATACGTTAGTACGACCCTTGTTTCCATCCAAATTTTTTGTTAGTATGTTATAATACAACACTTGTTGATATTCAAAACTTTCCACGGTAACTTATGACCGTAAGTATGATCCTTGTTTCAATTCAGATTTTTCCTTAGCACGTTAGTACGACCCTTGTTGTTATTCAAAACTTTCCTCAGTAAGTTAGAGCGTTAGTACAACCCTTGTTTCAGTTCAAAACTTTCCTCGGTAAGTTAAAACAATAGTGCAACCTTATTTCTAATCAAAACTGTCTACTGCATTCATAACTGGAAACAGGGAAATAACACTTTTAATTAGTTTTGTACAGATTTTTCCGCAAATGGTCAAGTACTTAGTAACTGTAGAGCCATAGAGCCATAGAGCAATAGAGTTTCTTATCTAGAAATACGTGATTGTAGAACCATAGAGCCATAGAGCTGTAGAGTTTATTGTCTAGAAACGTTTGATCGTAGAGCTGTACAGTTCATTATCTAGAGATGTGTGACCCATAGAGCCGTAGAGTTCATTATGTAGAAATGATCATTAATGGTAACCATGGTAACATGCCACCGTTTTACATGTACACGCAGAGAAGAAGTACAAAGTGATTGGTGATTAAAGTGTAGAGGTGTAGTGCTCTATGAAAACTACTATGGCAATATGAGATTCATAAAACAGCCCCTAGTTGCAACAAATGCTAGGGGGATAGGGGGGCTTGAAATTGACAGAGCCATCAGACAATAACAAAACAACTCTACTTTTACATTTTAAAGATTGAATATTTACCTGTTTAGGAGACCTTTTATCTGACATGTTACTCTGTTTATGTGTTCAGGGTGACTTTCAGATGATGTTTGGTTTCTCAAATGAGGTGGAATATATTTTTCCATATTTCCAGCATGAATGTTCCCTTCCACTTGCTTGTGATCACCTTTATCCTTATTATCATGCTCATACTTGTTACTGCTCTCCTCACGAAATCCAATACTAGTGGTAGTTTCATCCTCACTATTCAAATATCCCTCTTTTTTATCATTGTCATTGTTACTGGAAATATCATCATCATCAACATCATTGTTATCATTATAACTAACATCATGTTCTTCCTGTTCATTTTCACTTATGCTTTGTTCATCATTTCCATCAAACTCCATATCGTGCTCCTCCGTTTTGCTTCGCACAGCCTTGATAAAAATAACAGAAATTGAGTGAGACTACTTGTCATGAACCTCAACTAAGATCAGAAACTGATTCAAGGGCATTCTCAATGATAATGTGAGCATACATGTACAAAAAGTTGTTCTAAATTAAGGATTAATGTTGCAGTTGCTGCTTATGATTTACCAGGAGACAAAGACAATAAACAAAACACAATGTTTGGCATAAGGGGTAACACCACTCTGCAATCAGTTTGACAGACAACTTCCACTACATGACTACAAAGCCTTACTTACCTTCCCAGCACCAATGCCTATGCTGGATCTGACAAGTTATATCGGCAGGACAAAAACTACATGTTGTGAAAAACTATGGCTTGCTTAACCCTGTTTCTCTCCCCCAGCACTATGAACTGACACAGCTGGCACATACTGGATACAGGCATATAATGAGCATAAAACAGCGCAACTAAACTGAGCACGTAAAACAAAGCTTGGGTAAGTCACTGTGATACTTAACCTCCAAGTAAATCAGCCCATACAAGGTACAGTAGACAGTCAAACACGTTTTTGAGGTGTTTTAATATAAAGCTGGTAAAGGTCAGAAGACCATCTTCCGAAAACCTTAATTTAGAAATCTCGCAGGCCTGCAGTTGCTCCTATGCAGCACCAATGCAGAAACTATGCCCCTTGAGGATTCCAAGGGGAGACCTGTGTACTGAGCTGTGTCCCTAAAAGGGTGAACTACAGCCAACCTAATGGGATGGCAGCATTTAGAGAAGGAATTGAGAAATTCTTGGGTACGCTGAAGTTTGTCTGTGTTGTCTGTCTGTCTGTCTGTCTGTCTGTCTGTCTCTGTATGTTTTGCACTAGTACAAACCACTGGCTTAACACTTGGGAGGTGCCCAAGGTCTTAAACACAACCACAGGGCAACCAGCCAACATGAAGAGTAAGGTACTGAAGCTGGTCAAATGTTTTAAACAGAATGGTTCAGCAATAACAAAATTGTCTAGAATATGAGGAACATGTTGTAGGCCACTCCTTGCATTTGCTGTGTATGTTTATCTAGATGCTGTAGAGGAAAACTCTGCGATCCAGGGTGAAATTTTCACTGTGGTTTAGCACACTATTGACCTGAAGGGGAGGGGGTCTGTTTGCAGAGGGTGTGGAGATATTTACCTTCTTCTTAGGTTCTGGTCTTGATTCAATCTCTGACATGCTGTCATCACCATGGTCACTTTTACTGTTTTCTATCATCTGAGGTTCGCAAACCTCTAACAAGTCTGACATTGACTATATTAAGGTAAAACAAACATTTAAAATCACATGTACATGTTTTAGGACACCAACTTGCAGAAGTATCTTAGATTTGGAGTGTGGTTTGAAAACAAGAATTTGTCAGAAGGCAAACATCATTTCTGCCTCATGTCTACATGACCAGAGTCACATGGACACAGGGATATGGAGGGGCTTTGATGCATTCCTGGCAAGGACTCTTCACATTCCTTAAGTTAGATTTCTGTGTAAGGATTCTTTGCATTCCTAATGTAAGATTCTGTGTAAGGATTCTTTGCATGCCTAATGCAAGATTCTGCTGAAAGGCGGTTCTGGAAAAAAGACAAAGACAGGCACAATAATCATTAAAATGAGAGCCGTATGTGCTATTGATTTTGGAAAGACAACTTTCAACCACACTCAGTACAAATTCAAGACACTCTATTTATTCCTTTTTTATGGGCCTTGGAGACTCAAGCATTTGTGACAAGCTGTTTTAAGCATTATATTTTGATAATGTCCGAGCCCATGCTTCACACTTTTGATGACAAATGACAGGCGAAAATGTTGAAGTGACCAGCAAATTTAAAGATCACAATAAGCAAATTAAAAATTAAATTTGTAATGATACCAGAAGTGTACTGCTTGTTTTGTGTTTACTATTACATTACTTTTATTTTATAGCATGAGGTATAGTACGAGCATCACGCTAATTGCAAGTGATGAATCACCCAGAACTGATTCGCACGGAATGGTTTTCAATTCCACTGGTATCATCATTTTGATCTATGAAATAACGAGCTAACAACAGCTTTAAGCTTTGAGCTTAAAGCTTTAAGTTGGCTTAAATCTAGAGCCGATTAAAGTTTCCTGAAATGGAATTCCAAACTGTGTGGCAATCTGTTTTAGGAAACCTTTTGATAAAGAAAAAAATACCTTACTACACAAATCTTTTGCGACACGTTAATTCACGAATTTCACAAGTGAAAAAAAAAATCAAAACAGAAAGTATGATACGTTTTACATATTAAACAGAGGTACCATTTGCCATGAAATAAAGAATTATCTGTTTTGCCAAATTCTTAAAGCAAAGTAATTTATATTTATAGCATATGTCAACAACATAATCAACTCCAAATATTAATTATTTCATATATACTTCACATCATTTCACTCCTCACTGGAAGATATGAACTCACTGACCTCGCTCCCAATGTGTGGCTTCATAGCTCAGTTGGTAGAGCATCGCACCGGTATCGCGGAGGTCACGGGTTCGAATCCCATTGGAGCCCTGATTTTTTTTTCTGGCTTCTTCTTTCCAACTGCATAAATTGGAAAATTTACCGCGATGATCATTCTTCACTTTCATCCACTACCGCAGTTCAAATATGAATTATTTCATATATACTTCACATAATCAACTCCATCATGAATTCCTAAAAAATAACAAACAAGAAACTATTCTCCCTAACTTTAGGCAAAACATCAATGAAAACACATTGCAAAGATACAATCAAGACCCTCCATCTTGAATCTGCTGTTAAGAACTTTTCCTTTACGACCCAGTTTTAAAAGCTTCTCCAGCTTCTTAATCTCCTTTTCTTCTTTGCTGTTGTCTGCCAAAAGTTTCTGTTTCGTGATTTTCTGTGATTTAAGACCTTCCTAGTACATAAAAACACAAATGAATCAATTAATTCATGTGATTTAGCTGTGACACATCACTATTAATTACATAGGTGACCAAAAGGTGACAGTACTCATCTGAATCTCCTTACTCCTTTGACCTCATTTTCAACTATAAAGTTCTCAAACAGTTTCTGTCTTGATGTAAAGTTTTTCTGATGTGATTGTTGTTTTAGTTCCAGATTCAAAAGCAGAACAGAGTTGGATGTAATTTGCAGCATAATTGCCCGTGTTTTCTTGAAAAATGAGAATACCAGTAAAACAAAAGCTGTGAAAAAATGAAACAGTTTTAGGGAACATTTCAGGATCCAAAGCTACGATTTGCCAGATACAAATCAATTCTATCAGCTGAAAGCCTAAGTTCACAACCAAGCTTTGGCAGCCCATCTTTAGTTGAAAACGGAGCAAAGATATTGATTGCAACCAAGTAAAGGATATCCTTTGAACCAAGTCATACCTTTTTAGTTAGCTTACATTGTAGGTGGCTTAATATTGTCGGTTACTAATTTATACCGTTTATTTCACGCATAAAAGAATTGAGTTGAAAGGCGCTTAAAGAAACTTCAACAAATCAAAGTGGAAAGACTTATCATTTGAACTAATCACATGCGTCATTTAGTGGCCTACGTTTAATCTTTTCACATATTTTAGTACTAGTGCCTTATATAATTGCTCCCTAGGTAAATTACTGTATCTCATTATTTTAGATAAGAAGATCAAGGAAGTGAACTGTTTGATCAAAGTATCAAAGAGTGTTCTTTTTGAAGTGAACAAGGAGATTTTTGTCACCTAGGCAAGAAAATTTAAAACGTGAGTGGTACGCTTAGCTTACAACTCATGTTTTAAATTTTCTCACCTAAGTGACAAAAACAAGTGCAAACACATGTATTTTTAATACTGACAGCTCTTGCATTATTGCATTATTGACTAGTTTCCAATAAAAAACTGCATTCATTAAATGTTGATGGTTTCATATTACTCATCTCACAGATTCAACTAGTGTCTGCTAAATGGGAGTTCAGAGTAACAAAGCAACAGATTATCAATCTGGCTTGCTGTGATTGTCCAGCTGCTGATTTACAAGTTATGAGGAATCACTAAAATAGCCATAGTTGAGAAAGCCAAAAACACTATTAAGACTATTAAAACAAAGAAGTCAATAACAAGAGAATGATCCACAAGAAAATAAAGTAAACCATAATGGTACAGCAGGGTCAACTGTAGTTTCAACTATTACTTGTTACAACAAATAGATTATGAGCTCGAGATTTCTACAAGGTTATAGCAATTTGATGAGGCCTTAGGCCAAATTAACTAAGTGTTCTCCGATTCTTAGTGGTTTAAATTGATCATGTGACACGATAGTGTTCAACCGCTTGAGACACAATCAGCCCATAGTGCCCACCCGAGGAAAATACCTCGATGGATAGTACTCATTCATGAAAATTTTTCCATAAACAAGCAGGGTTATAGAAAAGAAACAATTGAAATTGCATAAAGTGGGTTTTTGTCTGTTTTCTTTTTCAAATTTTACATCTGGCTTTCACGGGTTTCATCTAAAAAAGTTGAAAACAATTCAAAATGATTTTTGAACTGGCATGCGGAAGAAAATTTAATGGTGAACAGTAAAGGCAATAGAGTGTTAAAGTCTTAAAACTATTGGTCTGATAGTTGCCCCTTGGAAATTTGATGTTCTTAAAACTAGCATGGTTTTAAGAGCATCAAATTTCAGTTGGGCAACTATCAGCCGATAGTTCCTTGACAGAAACACTCTATTGTTTAAATAGAGCATTTTCACTGTCACGCAATTTGAAAATAGAATCAATAACCATTCAGTGGATAAAGTCAAGAAATTGTGACATTATAGAAGATAAAATTAATAAAGAAGACAGTTCTCCAAGTTTAAGGTGTGTGCGTTGTCCCAAAGTTGAGATATTCGTCAAAATGTTCCACACAAATTTACAGTGCCTAGTATGGAGCCACCATGTTGGTGTTCTTCTGTGGGACACTAATATGGCGGCCAGAAAATAGAGTTAACATCTGGAACTTGCTTTTGCTATTCAGGACACTGATTAACTGCACTGACCAAACAAACATTTAAATAAGCACTTTAACGTCTTAAATGGCTAAAAATCACACGTGATAAATACATATTTTTCAACAAACACAATCGTAGCTTCACATGTACGTCATGCACCGCCATAACTCTGAAATTCAAAATGCACTGGTTTCCAAACAAAGGACACTATTGAGCTGAAAAGTTGTAAACAGATATAAAATTAGTACCTCTTATGCCTAATGAGGATAAAAACTTTGGTGACTCTTTAGTTTTGGATTTAAGAATTTGATGACGTCACATGAAAACGCTCCATAGAAATTGAGAGCAAATAATCTAATTGTTTTAGTAGAATTCTAACTGAAATCAACGCGAATAACGGTTTCCAATTATTTTTCCACGTTTATTAAACTTGACACTAACAAAATTGCATGGACTGAATTGTCATGATTGGAAATTTTCAGTTGTTTACCTACGCGAACCCATTTTTGCAATGATTTCAAGTTTTTAAGTCAAGAAACCATAAATGTCCTTCTTTTAGTCTTCTCAGGAATTAAATTATCCATTTGCATCAAAACATTCCTCCAAAACAATGGAAAAACAAAGACTAGTGAGACAATCTCAAAAATTGCAAGTGTAATAATTGTGCAGAGTGCAATTTCACACAGGTCCTCACCCCTGCCATTCTCTCCCTTGGTAGTCACTAGGCCTTTTCCCCTTTGCCGAATATGAGTGGACAAAAACTTGATAAGACATAATCTTAGCAGTGTGTATGTTTCATGTTTGTATTTTCTTTCAAGGCCCAAAAATAACTTACGATTACTGTTTGTCAAGACGGTTTTGAATATTATTGTGGTGTTTTACATTGAGTTTCTTTCATTTTAAATTCAATAATGTGCAGAAATCGAAGTAGCAAATGTGACAGTTTACATTTGTAACTTGACACTTTTGTTTTCCTCATCAAGGTATGTAACATGATACCGTTGTTTCCTCGAAAATAAATTATAAGAAAGATATGTACTTTTTTTACTCACTGCTGGAGATAAATGGAGTAAAGTTCAATATCTGATGAAAAACTAAAGAGGAACGATTTTGTTTTATTCAAAACGCAAAATTTCATTTCAACACTAAACAAGAACTAATCCAATCATCAAATAGTCACGTCCAGTCAAAGAATAGTGCATTCTTATTCAAGTCAAACTAATATACAGCGTTATCGATTAATACCACTGAGGAGCATTTCAACAAGAAATATTGAAGGTAGGGATCGTCACTCGGTCGAAATTAAATCCTACATCGATGAGCGAGTCACCTCAAGGACTGATGAAATTAATTATCAGTTTCAGAAAGTGCCACTGAGTCAGCAGAAAAAATTGTGAAGTTTCTTTTGTCACAAACTTTCTAGTTTTACATGTAACTAAAGCGGGAAAGTTTCGGCTGAATATGACATTTTTGCTCCCTTCTTAGAAGAGGAAATAAACAAGCTGCTAAGGAGAAGCAATATGTTTCCATTCTTTATTTGAACCCTAGCACACACACAACAGTTATAAACAGCAGACAAAATTTCTTGAATCGAGCTAGGGGTGATTCCAGAAGATAAGTAGCCACAGTAGTGTTCTTTACACTAAAAAAGGGAGAACTGACGTCATCTGAAATATAGCTGCTATCCTCGGTCAAAACGAGAGTGTGGTATCACTCGAAAAAATGTGCAGATCTGAACTCAAAAACGGAGTCTATCACACTAGCAATGCTAGAATGCATGCATCTCACATGTTGTGTTCTGCCGCAAGGATTGAAAAGCACTGTACATGTATGTTTGTGTGTGATCCCGTATGAAATATATCTTTCACCTAACATGTAGTCAACACTGACGCCAACTTACCTGCGCATGTGTTTCAAGCAAATTAATTTTGTTCTTAAGAGAATAGCACCACAAGGATAGCAAGAGATTTGTGAAAACATATATATAGTTTTGTCATGTTATCAAACAAAACAAAGTAAGTATGACACGTTTTGCGTAGTGCACACGGGTACCTACCCACCTAGGCCCCCTTCCTGCAAGGCTAATTGATTAATTGAAATTAATTAATTAAACAAACATTAAAGTTTACACCTTATGGCATTAGTGTGTTATAGTGTTAGTGCCTTAGTGAACAGCAACCCCCTAAACCATCCCAATAGTGTACTCTGCACTAAACACATTACCATTTTGTAGACAACCTTCAACCACTGCACACTAATGGCTGATAGCATGAGTAGTCATATAAATGCTGCATTAAAGACATTAAGCCAAAAAACAGCCTTCCCACCTCTCTAGAAACCAAAAAAATACCCTCACGGGGCCTCAACTCGAAAAATGCATTTTCAAGTACTTTAAAAGCACTTTCTATTCAAGCCCGCTCATGAGCAAATTCCAAGTCTCCAGGCCCTCGGCAAATCAAAAAAATCCTTTTGCCAGAAAACACTTTGCAGAGCTGGCTTATGATTTAAAAATACTCTTGCCAGACCTCTAGAAATCAAAAAATGCTTCGTTTCAGAAACAGCATAAAAATGGACTGTCTCAGGCCTTCACAAATCAAAAAATCATTCACCATTTGTAAAGCAGAGCTTTTGAAAAACACTTTAAGAAAAATAGACATTTATACATTGGTAGTAATGAATATGAAACATGAAAATGAAAATTATTGTAAAAAATCTAACTATAATATAGTAATGATGAATAAATCAGAATTAAATAAATTATCAAAAAACAATTAATTGATCTATTATTAAAAGATCAACAAAAACCTGGAATTAAATCAAAAAAACCTATTCCAGCTATTCGTAAAAGTGTTAAACAAACGGTACATGATTATGAGGAAAATATAATTGCACCACCTCTTGAATTTAGAGATAAACCGATTCCTAAACCTCGTATTAAATC